CATGCACCACACCAGCCCTCGAGTGGTATTCTAACAGGAAACGACAAGTTGGGCGTTGGTCTGAGGTTGACATGGAAGAGATCGTGTGAGAACGACATAAAAGCTTATGGTCAATCGTGGAGCCAGGTAAAGAGAACTGTAGAGAACCCGATGAAATGGAGATGTTCTTCTGAAACCCTATGTTCCACTAGGAACCCGAAGGAATAACAATAAGATATATTTTACCACTATATTATTTGATTCACAGCTGATTGGTTCACAGGAATTGACTAAGTATACATGAATCAGTCATAAGACTACGTTCAATTTTTTTTTCGGGGGGGGGGGGGGGTTCCAGTGGCTGAATGATATACGAGCTTGCCTTGTAACCAGAAGGTCCTGGGTTCGAATCCCAGTGGGTGCGTACTGCCGATGATTCCCAAACTAGGATGAAACAGCTGTCCAGTACTCCCAGGTTTCCCAATGGTTCATCTCATGATGAAATCCTGAAACTAACCAGATCCCTACAAACCAACACTTAAATACCAATGAGATGCTCACTGGCGACTGGCCCTATTCAGGTAGGTAGTTACCTGGGTTCCAGTGGGAAGTCGTGACCAGTAGGGTGCAGCGGGTTGAAGATGAGGCAGTAACTCATCGAAGAAGACATTGCGAAGTGGTCGCGCTATGTCATCAACTGGCAGAAGTTAGAATTCAAGAACCATTGGATCCGGTCCCAGTGGCTCAATGGTCTACGAGCTCGCTCGTTTTGTAACCAGAAGGTCCTGGGTTCGAACTCCGGCGAGTACATCCCGATGAAGAGTCCCAAACTAGGACGAAACAGCCGTCCAATACTCCCAGGTTTTCCAATGGTTCTCTAACAAATGTAAGCTCACGATGAAATCCTGAAATCTACAGTAGCCTATTGGAAGTGGTTTTCGTGAGGGGGCATGTTCAGTTTATTAAGAGTCTACTGATTAAACAATGAATATGCCTCAGTGTTATATCACATAACTACTTTTGCCAAAATCTGAATAATGTTTCTCCCATTTCCACTGTCTCTGGCGCAGAAGCATTGATTACTTCATCGTCGGATATGTTCATGTGCACTGAATATTCTCTCTTTTTGTTGTTGTTGTTCTTACTGACGCACAGTATAGACTCGTTTCACACTGCTGTTTCTCTCCAAACAAACAAAAAACAATCATTTCTTTCTTAAATAGATATATATGGTACACGTCACCACTTTTTATGTTTCTATAAATGGTCTACTGTTTCTCCCTCCCTGTCTCTCTCTCTCACTCTCTCTCTCTTCTGTTTATATCCTAATTTCTAGCCTTCATTGTCTGACTACATAACACAATAATTTATTCACTCGAATCTGTAACTGTGTGTTGTATCCAAATGTGTGTCCAGACAAGTAGGAACTACTTTGACACCTAGAACAAAAGTGTGTTAGTAGTCGTCGTCATAGATGTATCACATGATTTCTTCTCTATTAAAAAAAGCGTTTCTTTTCTTTTTCAATTATTTTTTTTTATTTGATTGTATACAGCTGTTTTTCTTGTGTATCTTTGTGTGTTTTCTCTGTTTCACTTCAAATCTTTATTCTCGTCCATATTTAATTGGTTGATGGTGACTAGCAGTGGAATCCAGGATGCGCATCTCGTCCTATCTGGTACTCTTCAGCTACATCTATACAAGCAGCCGATATGTCAACCAGAGACCGAGCACTTTGTTCCAATCAGTTGACGAGAAAATCTAAAAGCTGAATTAAATAATTAGTAAGACCCTTTGCACAAGAGTTGGCTCTCCTGACCCAAGTAGTTTGATGGATAACGCTTTAGTGTTTGAAACTGTGGGCACTAGGTTCGAGCCTCGGTGAAAACATCATCACTTACTCACTGAGGAATTCAGGTACATCCGTTTGACGAGTTCGAAACAGGACGAAATGCACATCCTGGATTCCACTGCTAGTCACCATTAACTAGTTGACTTCAAGTCATATGACCAGACATCGTGGAAGCATCTTCACAAGGAGCCGACATGTCAACCTGAGGCTGAACACTTGGGTCCAATCAATTGGCGGGAGCATCCATGTTCAGTTTATGATAAGTGCTAGTTAGTAGTTACAATCACTAAAGGTATTTTAGTGTGTTCATCAGAATTTCGGCAGTTATAGCTAAGTATTTATGGATTTGATTCAAGTAAGGATTAGGTGTGAATAGGTTGGCAAAAGAGGCTTTGGAAAGTCTTCAAAAGTTAGATTTCGTTACAAACTGGAGTCACACAAACTCACAGGTGAAACCAAAAAGTAAGCCGTAGAGACAGGCAGTGAAGACAAGAACTCAAGTGAACACAAAGAAGACAAAGGGGATAAATATATCCAACGACCAACAATAACAACAAGCATTAAGCACTATCAACGGGAGGAATTTCAAGGAAGTGACTTATTTACGTACCATTGTGTCAACTGCGGTCAGTTGGCACAGACGATGTCGAAGCAAGACAAAAATGGAAAGGCAACATAGATTTTCATTAATCTGAGGTCAGGTGGGAGTGGTCCGGAATGTGGTATCACACAACGGTTTCAGTGTTTGTCTGACCCATCTCTATTTTCCTTGCCCTGTTTGTCGAGCAATAGATATTCCCAAATGGTTCGTTCCCAGAGGGGAGTACCTTGTTACTAATCCTTTCTGGTTGTCTGTGCAATCTTCAATCTGAAGCGAAGGAAGCTGAGATAAATCTCTTACATCTTCAGTAGTTTACTATCCTTTTTTGCAGAAGTCTAATAATCTGAGTGTAATTCAATTGTTGGTTTGCAGGGATTTGATTGGTTACAGGATTTCATCATGAGCTGACATTAGGTAGAAAACCATTGGAAAACCTGGGAGTATTGGACGGCTGTTTCGTCCTAGTTTGGGACTCTTCATCAGGACGCACTCGCCGGAGTTCGAACCCAGGACCTTCTGGTTACAAAACGAGCGAGCTCGTAGACCATTAAGCCACTGGGACCCGATCCAATGGCCCATGAATTTTAATTTTTGCCAATTCGCGACATAGCGCGACCCCTTGCCAATGTCTTCGGCGAGTATTTGTCCTCACATCCTACCTGCTGCATCCTGTACACTGTGTTTTACAAAATAACTATCCTTGTACTTTTCTCACTCTTCAACGAATGCATATTTATCTTTATTGAGATGTATGCACTTCTTTTGTTACAGCTGTTGAAAAGTAATATAGTGTTATTTAGACAGAAAATAACGACTACATGCAGAGGTTTTCTCTCCTGTTAGGAGACTATATGACTTTGTCTAGGTTTTCGTTACATTTGGCTTATTAATGTATGTAATAAATAATCAGCTGATTTGTGCTAGTCAGCTGATTGGTCTTCTAAGAGTAACAGTTATAATTATACAATTAATTTTCAACAGATGTCTTCTACACTTTGACATTTTAACGTTAGACTTTTTCTTAATGAAGAATATATATATATAAATATAAATATATATATATATATATATATATATATATATATATATATATATATATTGGAAGCTGAACAAAAGAGGATATTTCCCTACTGTTTTGAAGTAGTGAACAGATCGTTTTTGGTGGGAGAGTGGGCTTCATGTACACTGTGCCTGTCGTTTTAAATAACGCTGCAACATCACCAAATACAAAAAAGGAAACGATATCTTACTTTTTCCCTTCCTCCAGATGTTAAAATTTGGCTATTCGGAGAAAATTTCAGATTATGAGGGCCGATGATACTACGCAGTTGCGTCAGGCTGTAATTGGTGTTACAGGATTCCAAGTTTGAATGCACTGGCCAGGAGTCAAATGTTTTAGTCAATGAGCCACATCTCCACTTGTTAAATAAAAGGTAGAATAGTTATATTAAATGATCGGACGCAATTGACAAAAAGCCTTGGACTTGGGTATCGTGCGTGTTGGTATTTGTCAACAAGGTGTATCTTTAAAGGAACTCATCTCCCCTCTGAATTCACTTGCAATACCTTGCTGTGCTGCACTCCATATTCAGAATGTTAGAACTTATTAGGGTTTCTTCTTGTATACAATCTCCTTCTCTGTTGCTTTATTGTTCGCTTTACTATTGGGGTATTTCACTGGATTATAAGTGAAATGGACTTGTATCAAGTACATATTTCGTCTGTATGATTATTAATTATTATTATTATAAATTTGGCTCTTTGGCTTAAGTACTCGACTTTTGGTTAATTTGTCCCGTGTTCAAGTCTCTTTTTTCATCTACTTCTATTTGCAAAACTGGGTAGCGTCACTAGCCGTCATACAATAATGGTGTTACTCATAGCCTAGTGTGTAAAAATCTGTTCCGAGTAACTAAGTTTTGACTAATGTTTAAAAAAATATCCATTATAAATTTTGTTTTTGGCTTAATTTGCATTTTTCATTGATGATTGATTAAATAAATCGGACCAAAATGCTCAGTCTTTGTTGACATATGTTGGCTCCTAGTACGGATGCTTTAATGATGTCTTAGGATTAGTGTGATTTTAATTTAGTTGATGGTGACTAGCAGTGTGGGATACAGGTTGCGGATTTCGTCCTGCTTGGGACTCGTCAGTTATGTGTATCTACATTCACGGTGAATGATGGGGTTCTCACTGGTATTTGTACCCTGCATACATCGTTTCAAACACCAGTTATCAGTATCAATCAAAGGGAAGTACAAATTCGCCTAGAAGTGAATAATAACTAATACCTATTGCGTAATAGGTGACTTTCATGGCCTAGTGGTTTATCGATGTGATGTTTGAAACGATGAGTGCAGGATTCATATCTCAGTGGGAGGACCATCACTCACTGGGAATATAAGCCATTCAGTTGACAAATCTCATTTGAAATGTGCATTCTCAGTTCCACTGATAGTCACCATCAACCAATAGAATTTTTCTTTTCGATAACCCCTTCATCAGGTTCTACAGTTCTACTATATTTAATCCTAATTTTATCGCTTTCTGTCATTTTCTATAAAGGATTCTTCATTGAAGAGTACAACTAATGGCAGTGCTACTTCTGACAGATTACCTGCTTATCATCCTGCTGTTTCAGGTAAGTCGTCATCTATAAATTGAGTTTTGCAGCATATTAGTTTCTTTTTCTATAAATCGTACAATTTATTAGATTCTTATCTCAGCTAAAAGACCATTAACAACTTAGAATGACGGAACATTAAGTTTCATTCCTGTTTAGCACACTGTTTGTTTGATAGATTGACCACCCCAAAATCCTGACAGTGATGTGTGCAGATCGAGACTACCAGACCACACTTCAAAAGTGAATATCTATTCAAACCACTAAGTCAACTGGACTTCAACGCCTGTGTTATTTATTTTTCAATCTCTCTGCTAATCCATGACTAATTCATTTTGAACATTTTTAAAATATTTTTTCAAACGATTAATTGTACTGCATCTTCATATGTACATTTTAAAATTTCTCACGCTTTCTAACACCTTCTCTACCATTTTTTTCTCACAAATGAAGTTAATCGAATATTAAGTGGAACTGATTTTATAAACATATTTGTCTATTAGATTCCTACAGGTGATCATTCATGATCCCTACTGCAGTCCTGGGTTAAACATGAGTTGAAACCTCAAAGGAAACACTATTTCCTTCAATATTTTAGGCACCTCTTGATGTCGAATGCTAAGAAGCATGAAATGTAGGTCCATAGCTTTCTGCTGATTGCCTCCAACCACCTAATATCAAACATAGCTATCTATTTAACCATTTAACTTCATTTGTTTTATCAGAGACTAAAATGCTGACGTTAGATTTCAACAGATTCAAGAGTTTTTCATCCTCGATTTAGTATATTTTTAAACTGTACTACAATCTAAGCCCCCCAGTATGTGCGTAGACAGTTTTTTTTTTATATTTTTCCTACACGTTCCCAGTGGAACATAGGGCTTCAAGCTAGAGGCTTGAAGTTTCTGTAGCAGTGTTTATTTTTAGAGGATTAGGTTGCTAGCCTCATGCCCAACCTTTCCTCTTCACGAGCTTTACTTCTGGCTGAGTGAGGTAAAGGAGTGCACCAGCCAAGGATCGAACCCCGGACCATGTACATGGTCGGCGAGCGTCCTAACCGCTATGCCACGGACGCACATAGGCAGTTAAGGGTGTGATATGTTCCTTTCGTTTTCACTTATCTAAGGTAGTCTTGTTCTGATATGTTCGAGTGTTTGTCGCAATACATCAAGTGAAACTTAAGAGAGCACCTCAAAGACCCTTTTTTAACAAAAACCTTCTTGTTTAAAAAAATTCATACGACAAATCCTTGGTGACTTAAAACAATTCCAGATCAAGTAGGTTGGCACTCCACCACAGTACTCAAACTCTACTCTTATACTCTATTCTACCCTCATCTTATCATACCGTACCCTTACCCTTCTTCAAGATATGAGACTGTCTTATTTTATTTTTTGTTATCGGAACAAAGAAGGATATACTTATTTAGAGATGATAGGGTTGATTTGTAGCTTCAGCTTTACAAAGTTCTCATTGTCTTTCCTGACATCTTCAGCTTCCGCTTTCAGCGTGGAATAAGCTTTCCAAATTCTTCATGTGTGTGTGTGTGTGTGTGTGTGTGATAACTATCTCTCCTGATTACCTTTCTTTAGCAATTTTGTTTCATTCTTTTTGAAGTGTTGGTTTGCAGCGATTTGATTGGTTTCAGGATTTCATCCTGAAACCAATCAAATCGCTGCAAACCAATACTTGAATATCAATCTGATGCTCACTAGTGACTTGCCCTATTCAGACAGGGAATCATGAGCAGTGGGGTAAAACAGGTCGAGTGTGAGGATAAATATTTGCCAGCAATGACATTCTCTAGTGGTCGGTCGCTCCATGTCATGAATTGGCAGAAGTTGGAATTCTCGCGCTGGTCATTGGGTCAGATCCCAGTGGCTTGTGGACTACGAGCTTACCTTGGGATGAGAAGGTCGTGAGTTTGAACCTTCTCGGTGGGTGCGCAATGGTGAAGAGTCGCAAATTAGGCTGAGGAAACAACTGTCTGGCAGTACTTCCATGTGGTTTTCCAATGGTCCTTTAACCGATGTCAGTTCATAATGAAATCTTGAAATCATTCGTTTTCGTTTTGAGTAGAACATAAAGCCTGAAGATTGTGCTTTGAAGTTTGAGTATAGTGCTGTTTTCATGGATTTCATGTCTAACCTGTTCTCATTTCCGGACTAGGCTTAGGTGTGCGTCGGCTGGGATTCGAACTTAGACCATGTGCATAATTAGTGAGTATTCTTTGACTGAACTACTGATGCTTCTTTCGTAATTATTATCTGTTATCAACTGAGATTCTAATAAATAGAGATAGTAATGATTGGCTTTCATATGACTGGCGGTGGGTTGACAGTAGAACACCACTCACTCCTGTTTTATGTCCTCTTTAAAGGTGTATCTTTTTCACAATTTTTGTTATAAACTTTCATTCTCATTGTGATATTTCATCTCAAACATGTTTGTTGTTTTTGTGTAATTTCATGTTAGCGATTACAGCTGTTAACAGTTTCACACAAACACATACAAACATAGATACTGTCTTGTTGTGGTCTGAACTCAGTAAATCGATCTTTGTGTCTGTTATGACTGAGCTGAATTGAATAAATCCGTTACTACTTTGTTTTATCTGTTCCTGTTAATTACTATAACGGTGATGTACTCGACTGGTACTTTAATACATCTATTTGTCCGTTGTACTTTCCAATTCACTGAATCACGTAAATATCAAAAGACAAAGGCTGGCCTGTGACTGTAAGATATTGTATTGTACATTTGTTAGGAAGCGAAACATGATATTTATACACTTTCTTTACCGTAATAGAGTCGGCTCACAACCGTGAGAATAGATTATTCATATTGGGTGGAAATGTCTGTTCTCATTTAATTTTTGGATGGTGACTAGCAGTGGAGTCCAGGATGCGCATTTCGTCCTATTTGGGACTCGCCATCTGGATGTACCTGCATTTCCCAGTGAATGGTGATATGTTCCCACCGAGGCTCGAACCCAGTGCCTATAGTTTCAAACGACAAGGCGTCATCCACTAGATCACTTGAGCCACTTCTTGTTCAACGGGTCATATTAATTATTTAATTCAAGTATTGGTTTTGTAAGGATTTTGTTTGATTGCTTGGAGGATTTCACCATGAGCTTATATCAGTTAGAGAACTACTGGGAAACTTGGGAGTACTGCACATCTGTTCCCTCAGCCTAGTTTGCGACTCTTCATCAGCACGCACCCACCGTAGTTTGGACCCAGGACCATCTGGTTTCTAGGCGACCTAGCTCGTAGACCATTAAGCCACTGGGACCCGATCCAATGGCCAGCCCATGAATTCTAACTTCTGCCAATCCACTACATAGTGTGACCACTTCGCAATGTCTTCTTCGATGAGTTACTGCCTCGTCTTCAATTCAATTTAGATTTTTACGTCGATTGATTGGACCGAAGTGCTCGGTCTCAGGTTGACATGTCGGCTTCTTGTGCAAATGCTTGAACGATGTCTATTCTCATTGGTTGGCAATCCGATAAAGACCGAGGTAAGACACAAGACGATGAATTGATCAAACACTAAAACACAACATACGTGAGAAGTGATACATTCACGTAGTATCTCCATTACAAGATAAATCATACGATTTATGAGAAAGTATGATATACTATTCTATTCCGCGTCCTATCAGTCTCCTACTGTATAAATGAACAGAACCTCTTCTTAAGACACTCACAGTCATGAAACACTCCAAAGACGGTTAAAACACGGTCATTCGTCGGTAGATCTATGGTTTTGTTCAATAATAATAATAATAATAAAATGAAAAACTCAAAATTTCCTCAACAGTGTCCTTAGGCAGCTCTACACAGATCAGATACATTTCTAATACAAAACAAGTAATGTAGAACAGAATTAGTTAAACAAAAATCAACTGTGAGAAGTACCTGAGAATCAAGTAGAGTATTCCCAACCACGCAGTGGGATCAAAACTCTGTCAACAGGAATCACACACTGATGCTTCCTGCAGACAGTTCAAGGTCAGAATGACCTTGACTCAAGGAAAACAACACATTGTCAGTATCATCGTCACACAACCACAAAAAGAAGCATTGCAATTAGCGATTAAACGGGAACATAAACAGATAATAAAGTAGCAAGTGAACATATAGATATGCAAACGTCAGAATAATGATACATACATAGTCTAAGAGAAAAAGGGATAATTATAAAGTTAGTTGTAGCATCCAAATAAGTATGAATATTGTAATTAGATTGCTGAGGAGGGAGAGATTTTCCAAACAATTATTCCAGTGAAGTCCAGATCCTCCAAGTCTCTTTTTGTGTGGCTCTATTTTATGCCTGTTTCCTCGCTGCCCACGAACTGTCTGTCACATTATTCCGTCTACTGCAATCAGGAAAATCATTGGAGGTAGTAGACAGGCAGCCAGCCAGCCTTGTCTCACTCCCGTCTTCACTTCGAAGGATTCCGTAAATTTTTACCGTTGTGGATTACTTGACATGCAACATTGTCGTACAACTGTTGGATGAGATGTATAATTGTTGGTGGCACTCCTTGGTGGTAGCGAAGTAGTTGCCAAATCACCTTTCGATCGACGCTGTGTGTCTACTGAAGGCTTTTTCACAGTCGATGAAGTTGAGTGAGATAGAGAGTTGACTGCCATTCCAAGCTCTGTTCAATGATGTTACGTAGTGTTGCAATTTGGTCGATGCATGACTTGTTTCTCCTGAATCCAGTCAGTTCCCAGTCGAAGTTTTCATCCAGGCTGGCGTGTTTGATTCTCTCCAGGATGATGCGGTCTAGTATTTTGCTTGAGATAGACAGGAGCATAATGCCATGCCAGTTCTATATATGCAAATATTAGATTAATCATATGTGGTCTAGGCGAAGAGTGGATAATGATTACAAAGTTACAGGATTTCATCATGAGCTGACTGACATCAGTTAGAGAACCATTGGAAAACCTGGGAGTCCTGGACAGCTGTTTCGTCCCAGTTTGGGACTCTTCTTCTGTACG